AACCAGGTATCGGCTTCGGAGCCCCGCCCGCGTCCCTGCTCTCTTGAGGTAACTCAAGGGAGAGGCCCCACGGGCCCCGCCAGCGGGCGCCTGCTGCCGGTGTTGCTGTGCTCTGGAGGTGGGATGGACTTGGTGCCTCTCGGGACCGGCTTAGGTGGCGCCTAACCCGCTCCACCGCTCAACGTGGGAGCCAGAGCCAAAACGCCGTCGTACCCTTCGCGCAGGAGACTGCGGGCACCTGCCTGTGCGCCGAGAAGACGCGGTGAAGAGGCAGGGAGGAGCGTCAGCCAAGAGCCCTTTAGCTGTTGGCAGGCTTTGTTTTTGAGGTGGGGTTTGAACGTGGGCTGGGCAGCAGCTCTTAACCTTTTTGGGATCGTCCAGACCCACGTCGGTGCAAAGCTGCTGGGTTTTGAGTTTAACGGAGAAGAGGCTGTGGCACGTGGTGCTCAGCGCACAGAGGATATAGTTCCCCCTTCATGCCTGGGTGTATTTGGTGCTAATGTTTGTCTGGACGTTCCTTCAGTGCTAGAGGAGAGATGTGGATGAACACCAAGGGCGTGGTAGCGTCTTGTCGGTGGGAAACCCCTGTGGACCTGTTGGGTTTTGTGTGAAACGCCATCAGTAGGTTTCAGAGTTATTGGTGAGGTGTTCTCTTGGTAGCTGTGGGCTGTTTCAGTCCCTGCAGGCTGAGGCAGAGGTCAATACTCCCGAGGTCTGAGCTGGCAGCCTGCTGGGATGTGCCCACGTGTGAGCTGAGGTGAAGCCACAGGTCGGTGCCCCGGGGAGCCGGGCTGCCCGGCTCCGGCAGCAGCTGGACGCGGGCAGGGCCGTGCTCCGGGCCCCACTGTTCCCTCCTGCCTTCCTCTCCCTGCTCCCCGATGTGGGGGCTCTCCTGCTCCCCCCAGCAGCGCTCCCTGCTCCCAAAACTGCCCCAGCCTTCTCCAGCCCCACGCCTCGCACCGGTGCCGGTTTCCAGCCTGGCGATGGCCCAGCTCTCCTGTGGCCGGGGCGGCTCCGTGCCCAGGGGTGAGGAGCTTTGTCACCCCCCGGCACCTGTCACCTGCAGGCTTCAGACCTCGACTCACTTATTTTTTTTTTTCACCAATTCTTCCTTGGTTTGTCCTTGGTGTGAGGTTGGGTTGGGGGTTTTTTTTTTTTGGCTCCTCTTCGTGCCGTTAAACCCCCAGCGCGGAGCAGCCTGGGGAGAGCCCGTGACTCCGCCGAAGGACGCTGCCACGAGCAAGGAGAGAGGAAGAGGAGCGGAGCTGTGGTAGCGACATCCCTCGGGGCGAGGAATCGGCGATGAGCTGGGAGGCACCTCCTTGGCCCACAGAAATGCTCTTGGACGTGGCTCGGGGGCCTCCACCCGCGTGGAAACGCTGGCGCGGGAAAGCGGCGATGGAAGCTGCTCTCGGCTAACGTGTTCTTCTCTCTCTCTCTCTCTCTCCCTGCAGGAACGCCAAGGCCGTGTCAAGTAAAAGGCCATTCCTCCCACAGAGACTGCAGCAGAGGTTGCATCCCAGCTACCTTTCAGAGAGAGAAAGAAAGAGCAAAAAAAAAAAAAAAAAAATCCC